GGTGACTGACAGTGACCCACAAGACATCGGTTTTTTCCTGATGCGGTCCAACCAGTCGACAGCGCGAGAGCCACTATTTTTCAAAAGCAGGCCAGTATGGAACCTCCCCTGGGTCTCGGTTGTCAACTATTAGGTAAACCATGTCTTTTTGCTGAATGCGGTCCCGAAATTGCAAGAGATACTGGATAATCTCTGGGTAGCGAGGGCCCCTCCCGTTCTGTTCGGCAGCCTCATAGCCTTCGTCACTGTCTATCGGTTGTGAGCGGACGTCGTCAATGCAGCATTGGCCTGAGGATCGGTCCAGTCCCAAGTGTGGCTCGACTGTGTTATGTGCACGGAGGGCTCTATAGGCTTGTGCGTGCACCTCATGAATGGGCCGATTGAACCCGTGAATGAATACGCGAGCTTTGGTCTGCGTGATCCACCCAGGACCAGACTGGATGTAGGGCGTGGCTGGCACACTTTCATCTGCAAAGCAGTCCGTGAGGTCTAGCTCATTGTCCTGCGTATCGGCTGCTCCATCTTCACTGCTGACTGCCCAGGGATCATAGTGCATGGTGTCCTGCCTAGGCATGCCACGGAACGGCTCCTACGACCACCTAAATCAGACGGACTGTGTTCGAATGGCGAGCCCCCAACTTGGGTTGGGTACCGGCCTTGGCGTGTACCGAAAGCGGTCAGACAAGGACTCAAGGCAGGACCTGCCACAGCGGAGTATGTCTCTAGGCGCCCTCCACTTGGGTGGAATGCACGTTTACTGCAAGAATATGCACAAACGTGCAAGGGCTCCGAGAGAGGCGGTGTTGACTATGAGCCAAAAAGCTGCGGTGAGGTCGCACTTGGGCATTCCTGGCCTCTTTTATGTTATGTGTACAAATGCAAGCACTTGAGACATCAGTGGGGTCAGGCCACCCTAGGCTCACAACTTGGAGAGGCGTTATGGAAGTGTCTTGCCCCTCCTAATATGACAGCTGCGCAACCACTACAATGCAACCTTGTGCTAGCCCTGGCAGTCGCAGTCTCTGGCGACACATGCGGAGAAACAGCCTCTCGCAAGACAAAATCAGGGGGTTCATACAATCTCGAAAAAGATAATTCCCAAATTTGGTGGTGCTACCAAATTGATTGGCAACTCCCTCAACTGCATAGACCCTTGCAGGGAGCTGCATTCGGCAAAGGCTTTCTGGCCAAACTCCAGACAGCCAGGTGCGGCAATACTGCTGAGCAGTTGGCACCCTCGAAATGCATTGTCGTTCCCGGCAGCTTGACAATTCGAAGCTTGCCGACAACATTGCCATGCTTCTGCAGGCTCATCCCTCACAATCGGTCCAGAAGGCGTCCAACTCACCCACTTTGCAGAAGAAATTTGTTTGCAGGAGATTCAGAGATCAGTCTCGTGCGTCTTCCGGTCAAAGCACAAGAGATCAGTTTCCCGATGTGTCTGGCAGCGGCGAGTGTCGCAAATCGCTGTGCGGTCCGCCCGTGCACAGAAGGGCTTCCATCCTGGCCCCTCTGTCTACGCCGAGTGGAAATGCCGAGAGTGGCCATGTCCTTTGCAGACTCACCACATTTTACACAGGAAGGATTCATTGCACACGGAGTCTGGGAGGCTTGCGATGCATGGATTCTTGGCCGTCCCGCAGGATGCGGTTGGAAGACCTGGAAGTGCGGCGGTGGCCGCTGCGCTTGCTGGCTATCTGGCTGCGGTGTAAGCCACAACGCAGCCCTGCGCTTGGCCGGGGACCAGGTATTGAAGCGAGTGGAACGGGAAGACTTGGATCGGAGTGCCAGCATCATGTGTCCAGTCTAAATGATTGAAGACCTCTTGAGCAACTTCCCTGGCATTGCTGATAATTTTTCTGTGTAGCAGGCGATACACTTTTGCTCTGGTTTCAGGATTTGAGTTTAAGATGATGTCACGTTGGTCCTTTTTGGGTTTGGTTTTTGGGGCTGGGCTTGGTTTCTTTGTGTGTGTGGTTGCCTCTTGGCCACAGTTTCAGAGTTTCCCCTTCTAGAATGATGACCTATGCACACTGCACACATGGCGTCCGTACTTGTGCAAAAAAAACCTCGAGCCACCACGCAACGCAGTTGGACGACTGCAACCAGTCAGACCTCTTCAGAAGAAGAGATGAATGTTTGGCTCAAGGAGCGGGATCTAAAAAGGGGACACTTGCGCGCTTCCGTTTGCGCACTGCTCGCAATTGCAACAGCTCAGACTCTCTCGAAACTTGCGAAGAATAGAGCAAGAAGCATTCCTACGGTGTGCCTCACTACGAGAGGTCTCCATCCCACCATCCTTACTATACATAGCGAGACGTGCCTTTGCTGGTTGGACGCAGCTTCGCACATTCTGCAAAACTGGGAAAAGCACGACTTGGAGGGGGACGTACGCCCGAGTCAATGCTTTTGATAAATGCGAGCACCTCGACAAGCCTAAGTGGCTTCGCTTCCTGCCGCCAAATGAAAAAGACAAGTGGAGAGAAAATTTCACAGAAGCAGTGCGCTAGGTCTCGCTCTTGCTTAGTCACACTGGGTCTGCATCAAGGGTTCTTCTCTTGCTTTTCGAGTGATTGTTAGCCTGCGATGACCAACCAGAGTCATTATTTCGTCCTCATCACCTGCAATTTTGTGAGCCTACCGGGATGGGAGCCTTGGCTCCTCGTCCCTGGTAGGCGGGTGGTAGCAGAGTGGTTGATGGAAGGCGCCCAGGGAGAACCTTAGTTGCTCATCTGCGGCAGCCAAACCATAGCCAATCTTGTACAAAGATGGCAAAAGTACCATGCTAGGATGGGTCTTTTGTCTCACCTGTTTCACATCGGCCATGCATGTAGTAAGATAGTGCCTTTCAAGCACACTATCTGATGAGCAAGATACCCCTCTGGCAAGCGAGATAGGTGATACCTCCCTTGTGGGAGGGAACTCCACATCGTCAGCAGTCTGGTTGTTGCAATGCCTTCTACTGCCACGCTCACGATTAGACTCTACACTTCGGACGCGCAATCAGTTGTATAGGTTGTGCCACGAAGAGGGAATTTTCCACGGTTTGCCATGCCTTGCAACTTCTGACTCCTTGGCAAGAGTCTTTGTCGCTGCTGACCTTTTCTTGGCACTTTGTAGATAGTCGAAACACTCCGAGTGCCAAGCACCAAATGGCTAGGGGATCTCACCCCTGCCAACAGCAAAAGGCCACATTTGACTGGCCGCCCCATGCAAACTTCCATGATCAAATGCATTTTGCCTTTCGTAGCGAATTCAGGCCCTTAGGAAATTTGCAGACTCACTTTTCACCTGTCTCACATCCGTACAGAGGAAACACTACCGTTTTGATGGGTTGTTTTGGCGGTTGTTCTGTTTTGGTTGTGGGTTGCCTTTGGGTTTTCGGCTTGTTTTTGGGGGTGGCCTTGTGTCTTTTTCCCATCATCATGTAGTGTTTCCTACCCTTCTACGATGACCTGGGCACACCGCCCACACGGCGTCCGCACTCGTGGAAAAAAAACACTTGCGCGCTTCCGTGTTTCTCACACATCTTTTCGGGCTCAGGGGGCTGCCGATCTTTGTCACCCCCAATGACATTGACACCACCCCCAGAGCTTCTGACAAAGGCCTTCAAATCCTGAAAAAGCATTTGCAGGTTCCGAGCGATCCTTGTTCAAACAGGTGGCCCTTTTCTGGATGGTCACTCAAGTTTGCTCCGTTGGCACCTTCCAAGCAGGTCTTCGTCTTTTGCTGACTTGTGCACACTGTCGTTGTTTCTAAACCTCCAGCTGGGCGACCTTCACACCTTTGAATGCTGTGCGCTGTCCGGAGATGTGGAGCTCAGAGAGGTTGTTCTTGTTTTTTTCAAACTCTTTTGGCAGAGTTTGGTTTTCTTGCAAGTTGACGTGTCCTTAAAGCAAGCTCACACACCTTTTTACGCTCAAGCGGTGCCGATCTTTGTTAAGGCAACGAACTGCCGAGACCTCAAACAGCGTGAACTTTGCATGGGGAGGATTCTGGTTCTTCACCCCAATTACGCTGCGAACCGGTCATTGGAAGACCATGGTCCGGATACCCCTCTGCGGACAAGATCAGGCGGCAATCGGAGCTGCAGATGTGGCAGAAATCAACTTGTTTGCAAGCGCTAATTCTTCCAGACAAGCTGGAACAGTTTGGGTCGACTGCCATTTGGCGCCGTCGTTCGACACTGCAAGACGGGACTCCTTTGCTTTTGAACATCGACGACGTGTTCACGGACATTGTTTGCCGTGCTATCTTTTCCACAAGTGCAAGAATCCAAGCCACCGAACACTTTTCAAGACCTGAAGGAAAAGGCAAGTGCTGCGAGTTTGAGACAAAGTGCTGGAGGGCGCGAGCTTGTGGTGTGGTGCGGGTGCAGAGTGCTGCCGCTGGACCTGCTGTGTGCACTTGGGAGTCAGACCATTGCAAGTCAGGGCTTTCACAAGTTTGGGTCGCGAAAATGAAATCGTGAAACACCAATTCTAAAACAATGCGTGCGTTTTTTCTTTGTTGCATCGCGCAAATTTTGCCTGAAATGTGCAACTCGATGTTTCCCTTGCCGCTGCTTAACTTTTCGGCCCTGAAAAAACGAACGGCCGGAGGCTTCCATCGATTCATCGAACAGCGTTCAACATGAAATTGCAACCAACTTTAAGACCAATCAGACAACTCATTGTCGGACATGATCCCAGCTCGAAGGATTGCACCCGTCCGTATCCTCTCAACAAAAACCCTCGATTTCGCACAAGTGAAGAGCTCGGGTCCGTCCCATTCACCACGAGCGACTTGGCCCCTTCATTAACAGGGCGAGGGTCGATTCCTTGGTTTGCAAGCATCCAATAACCAAGCAAATAACAAACCATCAACCAAAGCAAGCAAACCATTTCTATCTCTTCCATTTTTCTATATATACTTCTTCCAATATCCACCTATTCCCGCAGTTCCAAAGGGGTTTCACCAAGTGGTCTAGCTTTCCATCCAAAAGCCTTGTCCATCTCGCCATGGGCGATGATCTGGCAATGGAGGAGAGAATGGCGAAGCGTGTTTCAGGTGTCACAGGTGTTACAAGATTGAAGAGAGGGAACATGAACAAAGACGGATGAGGAAAGGCAGGAAAACCGAGCCACATACCCTGTTTTGATGGTCTTGGTTTTTGGTGTTTTTTGGCAAATGTCCATTCGGGGAGGGCATTTGTCCCGCCACCGTTTTGTCACCATTCATCTACTGTTTCATCCTTTGAGAACACAAAAATTGGCAAATTTTGAATTAACTCCACACTATCACAAGAGATCTATGGAGATCCTGGAATAGATACAGTAGATCCTCCGGTCAGCCTGTCCCTTACATACGGCCCATTGGTTTTCCTGGGGTTCTCTTCGTTGCTGGCCACTGCGCCTGCGACGGGTCCTCAAAGCAGCCCTCTTCAGTTTGGCATCTGGAAGTATACTTTTAGAGGTCCCCCAAGTAGACGACAATGTCCAAGATCCTCCGGTAGGAACATGCGAACATGCTATGCCTTGCTCCTGTTCGGGTTTTCGAGATACCAAACAGCGACGGACCTGCCGGGCCTTGGCGTTCCAGGACCGGGTTCTGGATCCTATGCCAGGTCTGGAGTCTGGCGCATGGGAGGTCGAGGGATCGACAGCGCAAGGGTGTGCAACTCTGATTTCTGGCGAGTTTGTACCATTTCACTGGTCAAAACCGATGTAGCACTGTGTATGTATAGTTATATAGAGGGCCATACTGATCGCACCTGGCAGGCAATCCACTTGACTTCAACTGCCTAAGCTAGCGAAACCAAGGTTGAGGGATGTGTTAAGAGCGTCAAAGACTTGTGGTTGTCGGCCACGCTTAAGACGTGGTCACATCCTTCGTTGCTCACCGATCTCGCTGCCTTCCCACCTCTTTGTGGATGCTCCGTAGACACTTTTGGGCGCACCAGCATAGACCACTTGGAGCGCGTGGACGTGCAGCGGTTCAAATGACCTCGTCAGATGAAGGATTCTTCTTGGGTGGGTGTTTCTCAAATCGCACATCTTCATGACTCTTTCCCCACTGCCACCGTGAGCTCTGAAATGTAGACTCTTGATTAATAACCCCCCGCATTGCGATTGAAACACGTGTTTATATGGAGGGTTTTTCCACTGCTTAACATGAGCTGTGGCTTGGACAGATTCGCAAGTCGCGCTATATGGAGGGTTTATGAATCCTTTCAACAGACAGACACTCGCAGGTCGCCCCAAGAGGGACAGACTCTCGCAGGTCGCAGTTGCCTCGACCCCGGGCGCTCGCGTCTCCGCTTCCGGTGTCAGCGGACGTGGCTCGGAGGCAGCGCGCGCGTTCTTCGGGCTTCGGCTCGACGATCGCATCTTGCAGATGCTCAGCTAGCAGCTAGCATCAACCTTTCTAAAGCATGTGGATACCGGAAGAGGATCTAGCTTGATATATACTTGAGGTATTGCTTCACAATGGAGTATCATTTGCATCTTTGAAAGACCCTTCCGCAGTGACACTTCCCGCCTTCGAGAAGGAGGTTCCGGAGACCATGGGCTCCTTCGTTCGGATTTCTTCGACTCCTTCGACTTCCATCGACTTCCATCGGTCCCTCTTGATGGGGTTGAAAAGGACTTGATGCATTTCCCGGGTCGTTTGTGTTGGTCAAACGCACCTGGAAGAGGTCGTGACACGGGACCATCTGGTTCGAGAGCAGAAGTCACTGCAGGCCAGCGACGTAGGAGTTGTGAAAGGAGAGTGCCCAAAACCAGTTTACTTGATTTTAGGAGAGGTTTTGATTTGGGAGCGCGAGCGCCCCAGGCGACCGACTCTTGAATCACCACCAAGTTGTGAGCATACACGACTAGGACAAGAGTTTTTCTTCTTGGTTCCAAAAGGATATCCCTTTCCCCGTAGAATCCTGCAAGTCATTACTTTCACTTGTCGAATTTCCTCCCTCCAAAGCCGTTTGAATGCTATACAGTTAAAGGGGTGGCAATTGGACATGGACTTCTTAAATCGACCGCAGCTGATGCACATAGATGTGGTAAGACGCGGTAAGACCAAATAAAACTTTCTTCCTTCTGAAGTATCACTTGTCTTGATTCTTCTTGAGTTACATTTCCGGCGGGATTTCGGGACTGCCCACTGCCTGCGTTTGTCGTGAGTAGCTTTCTTGCTTTTGGGCGATTTGGTCTCCCCTTCTCTGTTGTGACAAACCCAAGCGGATGGCAGGGTCTTCTGAATTCGAACCCCTCCAGAGCCGAGATTCCAGATTCGATAGCCTATGGTCCCCTCCACCTCTTCATCTCCCCAATCGATTCACTTTGGCGTGACGAAACATCTGGCCGTGACGACCGACTCCTCCAAGGCCACATCTATGTGGGCGCTGCTCGGAAGCAACATGCGATGGAAGACGATTGCGGACCTCGACGGTTAGGGATGTTGGGAAGCAGATCATATGGGTGGCTCAAGAAAGATCTAAAGCACACCTGGTCTGCTGGGGGGTCTTTGAAATTCGATGGACATGCACTTTTTAGGGGTTGTGATGTTGAAAATGCTATGCAGGAAGGCTTGGGATGCTGAAGATGCTGGGTGGCATCGTGAGCAAAACAAAAGTGGAGGGTTGGTAGTAGGAGCAGGAGGTGATGGAGGGATTTGCAGGTGGATTAGGGTAAGCTCGCTGGTGCGAAAGTCGATGACTAGAGCATTGTGCCGCAGTCGTTTGCTTTGTAAGGGGGTACTGGATGACGACCCATTTTCTTGCTTTCGTCATTGATGTCAACAATTGGATGGAGTAGGTCCAGAGCCAGATATGCTGGAGATGCTTAGACTTGGCAGCGAGAGTTGTGCTCTTTTTCTAGCTAATGGTTTCCTCCATGCATGTTTCTGTACGCCCTACGCATTGTGCGTGTCTCGGAAAGTCGCTTAGGTTGGTGGCACGCCCAGCGACATGTTTGGAACTCGATCCCATGTGTGAGAGGGAGAGAGTGAGAGTGGGAACGAAACACAGCTTTGTTTCAGCAGCTTCCCTCCGATGTTAAGACTTTGACTTCCATGTTGGCCATGTTGGAGGCTCCCCACCCCGGCGTCCTGGGCGTGGTCCTGGGCGTTCGCGTTGGCGAGGTCCTGGATCAAACGGCAGGAGGAGCTCCTGGGCGTTCGCTACGTCCCCGTGCCGCTGGGACCGGGAGACGGAGACGCGGACGTGACGGGGAGCTCAACGAGGATGAAGACGTTCGTGGCACGGGGAGTTCCAGCAAAAAGGGGATCCAATGGAGCCAATGTTTGCTGGAGACTTCCGTGTGATGGGAAAGGCTTGGAGAGCTTGCATTTCTTGGATCATTCAACAATATGTGGTCTAAAATAGAAGTCACTTACTTCTGAGTCCTCAGGTCAATGCATCATTCCCTCCAAAAAGGCACCTGATAAGTGATTCCCGTGCCCACGACCTCTGGGCACCCTCGGCAGTAGCGGCCTTGCTGAGGATGGTCCAGCCTCATCCGATTTGGGCACCTGGGCTTCGGACCCTCGCGCAGGTGGCTCTGAAATGAGGGAGGAACGAAACCCTTGGAGAGGCCGCTGCACACAAGGTCCATGGCCAAAAAGTGTCGGTTGCCCGTCGTTGGGATGGTGTCAGATAGGTGACCCGCGTCACTGATCTTTTAGATAGGTGACCTGCCCCAGCTGACGACCAAACGTTGCCAGGCCACAGGAGGTGCCTTTTATCCCAACGCAGCGCCTCGGCTGAGCTGGTGAAACGGAGCCACAAATGCCGGTGTGGCCGTGGTGCGGTGTAGGGGTGTTTTTCCCTTAGGGTGCCCAAGCCATTTTGTTGGGGATTCGTGTGTTGACTCAGACCCTCTTGAGTTACAAGGTTGCGCAAGTAGGTTGTAGGCCATCGCAAGTAGGTTGGAGGCCATCGCTACCAGTAACTAGACGCTACTAGTAACAAGGTTGATGTTCGGTCCAAACACTCAGGTCTTGGGAACCGGTGAAGCGAGTTCCCCTGCCTGCCGCGTATTACAATGTGATTTGTACCAGGGCCTTCAAGGGGTGGTTCATGGACACCCCGAATCACAGTTCAGGGGCCAAAAATAGACACCCCTTGGAGGGTCCTACACATTGATGTGGGTACACCTGTACTTTCTGGAATAGGAGGTATGCTTTTTTGATCCAAAGACTTCCCACTTCAAAAGCCTCCTTTCAGCAACTCAACGTCTCCCGCAGATTATTGGCGCCGCACCCTGGTAGGTTGACGGAACTCATATGGAGACTTCCCCTATCACATGGAGACACGGGCCTTAAGGAAGGCGCCCACAACAAGAAAACACCGACACGGCGGCCTAGGTTGACCTCCCTGGCCAGTCGTCTAGATAGTCCGTTGGGGTCCTTCGGTGCCACCGCCAGAGCTGGCCGCAGCTGATCCGCGACCGCGAATTCCCAAGGCTTGGACCAAGGATGGTGTGAAGATGAGGTGCAGACGACGGATTCCTTTGACGGAACGACGAGTTTCTTGTAGACTCGCGGGATCTTTTGTAGATTCCTTTGTAGACCAGGCCTAACCGGACAGGCCTCCCAGTTCGCATGCATCAGTAGCCCCACATGGTGTTTCTTTCCGATGTCCAAGACCTGCAAACGACGTTTTCTCTCAACCCTTCTACTCCGCCGAGTCAGCCCAAGCCGAGTCGAACGCTGCCACGCACTCACGGGGGGCAGGACTGACTCGTTTGTCCTACGAAGACATCCCGACAGCCCAATCCCTGCAAAGTTGTTGAATCCACCGCCCGACAAGTGGAAAGGGTCCGGACAGGGTCGCAGCTTTCGTATTTTTCAGGTGTGGTTGATGGAGGACCCAGGATGTTGAGGTTCGTTGGAAGATTCCACGAGGTTTGTCACGGGACCCTTCCTGGAGTTTTGCGTCGGAGAGTTAGATATACAAGCCTTGTAGAGGAGGGGGATCTTCACGAATCTTCGTGGAACTCATCTTGGACCATACCGGACATACCGCAGGTTTTTCATTTCCACCACTCTGAACCGTTCCATTTTCGCTTCCACAACTCATTCCTGGCGCATGCGGGCGAGGCTCAATGTGGCCTCGCATCCCATCTTTATGACCGGCCTCGACAGCGTCTTCCACGTGCGTGGCCGCCACGATACGCCCGGGTCTCAGACGAGGGTCCAAGATCCAAATCCAAGTTTTCGAACTTCCGGAAGACATCACTCGCTAAGGAAGCTCTTTTCTAATTGCGAAGGCCTCCAACCTACCAGCGATGGCCTCCAACCTACTAGTGATGGCCTCCAACCTACTAGTGATGACCCTAAACCCTAAACCCGGGTCCTAGATCTAACAAGCAGGGATGGTTGTGGTGGTGGTGGTGGTGGTGGTGGTTGTGGTTGTGGTTGTGGTTGTTGTTGTTGTTGTTGTTGTTTGTCGGGTTTGTGTAAACTTACTAGTTTAGTAGGCTACTTCATTTGGGAAAGGAGGTGGCCTACCAAGGTGGCAGTTTCGAGGAACCTGTTTGTGATGTCCCATTGTGTTCATGCCTTTGCAATCCTCTAAATATTTTTTTTTGCAGCGAGTTTGGTAGTCATCCACCCAAACAGAGACCACTATGTGCCCTCCCTGCATGTTGAATTTGCTCTGCTCTACAAACCTAACCAAGAAATTCCATATCCCTTTTTGGAACAACTGTGGCAGACTTATCTGATGTTACTGATGTTTTCTATACAACTTGCATCATTTGCACTTTTACCTTTCATCCCACCAACATTTCCAACAACTCGCCCAATTTGCAATAACAGCCAGTTTTGCCGTGTTTTCTTGCATCAGCCATTCGGCTCCAAGCTGATCGAATAGATTAATTCCTGATCAAATGGTGGATGGAGACACACCAACAAACATGACATGCAGAACATCACAGTTTTGGATCCTGTTCTGGCAAGTTGGCATGAGTCTGCGTCGACTAGCAGTCTTGACATGACTTGGGAAGTTGTTGCCCGCACATCGTTGCACTGACAACAACACACTAAGAGAGAACATTTTGCGCCCAGAGGCCAATCCACTTGGAGGATGTGATTGCAAAACCTCGCCGAGTGTGTTTGAATTTGTACCCTGATTGTCCCCACAAACAAAGCAAACAACCATGTTCGCCACGAGTTTGAGGGTCAAGCTCGTTTGCCTGCAGCTGTTTGCGCCTGGCGCGGGGGGGGAAGTTCAGTGCACTACCTGGTGCAACCCCCTCAGCATGCCCGAGCCCGAGCCCTTGATTCTCCCCGAGCGCAGCCCTGAGCCTTGGCGAAAAGCACCGGGACCCAGACCTTCCGTGGTTGATCCCGGTGAGCACATATGGACCATGAGGGGGTACCTAGTACTTAGCCTGATTGGTACTGGGGAAGGAGTATTTCCCAGAATTGCGACGCCAGAAATCCTGGCACTCGTACGCTATTCTGCCATTTGGACCCCTGCATTTGTCCACCATTGTGTCATTGTACTTCTGAGCAAACAGGTTTAGTGGTGTACACTCAGATTTGTATGGGTGCATGGTGTTGATAATGCGTTGCAAAATGATGGCATCACATGCATTTCTTTTGTACTGTACTGCTTGTTAGTGCGATAGCAGACCACAGAGAAGTTGAGAGAAGAGCTGGTTAGTGCAACGTGTTGAAGTGGTTTGAGTACATTTTTGGTGCTTGTGACGTGCTTGGCACCCTTAGTGCATCGACTCCAGTGACGTCCAGTGACTCGAGGATGTCGACCATTGGCTTCGTTCACGACCTCCCAAGAATTTCATGAATTGGCCTATGAACCTCGTCATAACCAAAGGAATCCCTCCGCCACTCGTTTCCCCTCCTTCTCCTGGCCACCTCTTCCATCCTCTCCGAGGACCGTGCTTTGAAGGGCCTCATCCTCAAGGTCCTTCGGCGCCTCACCGGCCCCTCCACCGTGGCCTCGGCCTTCAGCGCCGAGCCCCCCGCGGGTTCCTCCGCGCCGGCGGGTTCCTCCGCGGGTTCGGCCGAGCCGGTGGGGCCGGTGGCGGCCACGTGGCAGATGTGTTTGCGCGTCTTGGGCGTGGACCGCCGGCTGCAGACCCGAGCTGAGATGTCGCTGGGCTGTTTGAGGTGGTGTGACTGGTGGGAGATGGAAGGATGGGGATGGATCGATTGGTTCGATTGGTTCGTCTTTTGGTCGGTTGAAGTCCAACAGCGATGGCAGCTGGTGTCTCTTCGGTGCAAAAAACGGATTTTGAATGAACAGACTATTGGAGACCAGATTCGATCAGATCTTTCAAGCCAACAAGCAAGGCGAAAGTGGGCAAGTTGATGGTTGATCCTCGTCAATTGCTAGGTGGTTTGGTGTTGGGACGTCAGTTTCGTGCAATCCGCAAGGTTACATCAAGCCCTCATCGACCTGGCTTTGACCAAGGAGCAGCAAGAGGCTGGTATTAAGGTGGCCCTCTTGAGGTTCCCTTTCTCGTGCTCTCCGACTTCTGGAGTCGGGCAGCTGCGACCGGTGAACAGAATGGGTTGGGTGAAGTCTGCAGTGTACCAAGAATGGTGCAACAAGAGGAGGGGGAAGGTTTTGCGGGGAGGTGCAGTAAAGTGGATGCAATTTTGGTGGGTTGGTGATGCAGACGGTGATGAATGGATGAGCGCATCATTTGCATCATCAAGGCAAATGGATTAGTGTAATTGTGTGTCGAATGTTTGGGTGACTACTCAGACGACTTACTGGTTCACGGTTTTAACTTATGAACGTCAATTCCAAGATGCGGCCTTTGGCGGGTGACGGTGCAGGGGTGGATGAGGAAGCTCTTTGAGTCTCATAGGCTTCCAGTGGGCCCACATGCCTCAATCTACAGCCCAACAAAGAGGACTCATTCACAAACTAGGTTGAGGACCAGATCTGCTACATCCGTTCATCCAAAAGAGAACAGAAAGGTCATTTGAGTCACCTCCACAATCCCTTCGCGTTCTTTGGCGGCAACCTGCAGTTGTATCTAGAGACTCCATTCACCCCATTCCATTCGTCTAAAAAGTCTCAAACCAATCCTTCAGCCAGGAGTCACAAGTCGGGGTGCTGTGGCTCGTCCCGTTCGAACGGCTCCCCGACTTCCCTTTGTGACAGGTCTTCGAGCGAGTGCTCGCCTGCAACCTGCGCTTCTACCAGATCGCCGTGGAGGGCAGCTTGGACGGTCGACCCCCCTGGCGGCGTCACGTGGCGCGGAGGCCCAAAGCGAAAGCGCCACGGAGGTTCCAGCGAACGGGCGACGGCCATGGGGGGTGAGAGGCTTTCTTTGGTGCGAAGTCATAAGGGCCAAATACCCTGGTGACCTGGTGGACATCTCTTTTGGAGGAATCTGTTCATTTGATCCGCGCAGCAAGCAGGGTGTCCGGGGTTTTGACCCATCATATGGGACTGACGAGTTGAGTAGTTCTGGTCGTTCTGGGACTGCGGTTGCGCGGCTCCGGTGTGGGTGGGACACTTTTGCAAACAGCTGCGTTTTCACGGCATCAGTCCTGCGATGTGGGGATTGACGGAGGTAAGTTGAGACTGGCAATTTCTCCAGAGCCAAGTGCGGGTTTGGGGATAGGAGCCAATGGCTCTGATGGCCAGCTTGCTGTCCGCAGCTGTTTTTGGCTCCACACCCAGTTGGGGTCCTTCTTAGAAGGCTTAGCCAAAGGTTAAGCCCCGAAGCTGTTGCGACGTCACAGCCAGTGACGTTTTTCCTCCACGATGGCGGTTCGTGTGACCCGATGGGCTACGCCCTTGCCGGAACCCGTGCCTCAACCCATGTTGCTGGCGCTGCACTTGTCAGCCACAGGCAGCACGTGGGAAGCTCCAGTGACCTGGCTGGGAACTTCCATTTTCCTCCGAAGTTATGAGGCCGCTAGCGCCTGCAAAGAAGGCTCCACTAACAAGCCCTGGTGGAGATGGCGGTTGGTCTTTAAAAGACGAGAACATGTTTGCCGCAAATTGGGACAGCCACATTGTTCGACCAGCGGATCCCATACAGGTCCAGCTCGGGACACACTCTAAGAAACGCCAACGATCCGCGAAATCTATGGGTTATCCATCGATCCTCTATCCACATCCAACCGAAACTCCTAGGCCTTGAACTCCTCTAGCTCGGTCCTCGCCCTGGGCCTTCTCGCTCCTAGCCTCCTGCGCCGCGTGGCGCAGCGCCTGCGGGCGCCACGGGGCGCGCGGCGCCCACGAGCTTCGCTCACCGTGTGCGGGGCGCGGGGAGGAAGCGACGGAGCTGTGCAAAGGCGGCCACGACGACCGCGCGAGCTGCGTGGGGGCGAGCTGATGAAGACGTATAGTTCCTGGAGTGGTTCTAGTGGAATCCAACAAAGGGAGATGTAATTCACATTGGTTTTGGCATGTTTTGGCAAACATTTAAAGGAATTATATATATACACGGATTATTCGATCTTATTCGAACTTAAGCATGGCTGCTGGCTGGCAATCTTTGATCACACAAAAGTACAGGTACAACATGCTTGTGGTGCCAAGCCGATCTGTGCCCAGTTGGCCATGTTTGTTTCCAATTCAGAAAAGGATGCGTTGATCACCTGCAACTCACTAGAGCTACCACCAAAAAGCAACCGGCGATGTTTTTCTCACTGTTGCCTTTCGCCCGTCTCGCACGTGCCCGTCTTGCGCCGCTGTGAGCCTTGCTGTCCTTCGACCAGGGTGTCCGGCGTCGAGCGCTGGCTGCCGGACCTCTCCAAGTTCTCCTCCGAGATGCTCCGAACCTACGCTCCTCGTCCGGCGAGCGCTCGAGCGGTGCCGGTGCCGTTCGGAAGGACGCGCGAAAGAGTGCCGTTCGGTGGGACGGAGAGGACGGAAAGCAACGAAGCAAAGAGACTGCAACGCTTGTTGGGGAGCGGAACGAGCGGAATAGCGGCCTTTTGGAGGGTTTCGATGTCTTCCTTTGGGTCGTTGTTCTGTGAACAGCACCTGGCGTGGTTTGATCGGATGAGAGTAGGCCTATTAACCTTTGTTCGCAGAAGGATTGATCTCGGGTCGGCGCAGTTTTTGCGCTCCGACAGGGCAAGTAAGGTCGATGTTAGTCGGCATGATTGGTTCCAACAAAACCTTGAAAAGCGAAGAACGAAGTACGACGAATCTGCAATTGGCTCATGTCTGAATCTGCAATCCATTCCGTTGGTCGAAGAAGTTACAGTAGATCCAGAAGAGATCATTTTGACAGGGAAGAAGGGATCGCCCTGTGCTTTTTTCAGAGAGGGTCTTTGAAGTGGTAGTGACTGCAGCGCTTTGTGTCAACTTCGACTGGGAGCCCTTTTTTGATCATTATTGAACTAGTAGGCGGCCAAGAGTAAGAGGCAGACTGATAAATGTTAGGTGCCCTGAAAGATTCGGGAGGAAAAAGGACTTGGGGGGAAGTTGTCGCATCTTTTGCAATCCCGTTTGGTTTATCCTTCCAGCTTTCCAAGCCTTTCAAGGGCTTTTCTCCATTTGTCGCTGGCTCCGCATCTCCCAAACCGCCACCAACGCGCGGCTCCGCCGAACGCTGAGGTTGGCGTTGGCATTTGTACCTTGCAGGAAAGATGGGGAGCTGGGCAGCGTCGATGCCCTTGTCTTTGTGTTGGTCTTAGATGCGCCACACACGACCACCTGGCAGGAACTATATATTGTCTACTTTTTCGCATCTTTTTCATTGGTCTTGAGGCTTCCAGCCACTCCCAAGCAAGATCAAGCACCAACGGGGGGGCTCACCTTCGATTCTTGGGTCGTTTTTGGGGCAGCGACTTGTTGGGGGGGGGGAAGGTATGGCTGCCTTCCGTGGCAAGATCCACGGAAAGAGCCTTGGTCCCCTCGTCCCAAGTATCCGATTTTGAAGTGGGGGGAAGTCTCCGATTCTCTCTCGAAGCTGGTTCTGAGGCATGGGATCCTTCTTAGCGCCTTGGCACATCTTGCCGGTCTTCCTGGACATCAAGATCGCGGCCGACCCGACCCTGCCTGGGTTGACGCCCAGATGAAGTCACAGCAGAATCGGGGTGTGTGACGCAAAGATTGAATGGTTGGGAAGATGACTCTCCTTTACAAGAGGGGTGCTACATGATGCTACCAGATTGTGTGGTTCATGCAACATGTGCTCGACATGGCTCAATGTATCTCAAATGCTAGATTCCCAGCCTTGTTATCCATATACGGAGCCTTTCACACTCTTTCAGGGCTTCCATCTTTTCTAATGGAAGACACTCTCTAGCTTCTTCACCATTCCATCCCTTGCCAGCCTGCCTCTAGAGATTGAACCTATAGATGATCACCCCCCAAAAAAGCCTTTGGGAGCACCTCACGACACTGTCGCTCTCTTCCCAAACACCCATTCACACTCCGCCTCCCAGTTCCCTCCGCCTACTCCTCCGCCTCTGCGGTCGCCTCTTCCACCGCTTCTCCTCCGCTCGGAGGACGGAGCAGACGCTGCCGCTGACCATGACGGCCATGTTCCTCGGGTGGCTCGTGGGCTCCGTGGCCCTGCACCGCGTCATGGAGGCGCGGAGCGCCGCGAGAGCGACACGGCGCGGAGCGCCGCGAGCTTCACCACACGGGGCCGTGCCGGGAAAGGTGTGTGTTTATTGGTTGGGTCTCCAAGGACTCCTCCGAAGTGGGTAGGGATTCTTTTGGACCTCAAGGACTCGGGATTTGGGGATCTCTTTTTTGTGGGATCTATTTTTTTGTTCTTTCCGTTTTGCGGAGCAGGTTTGGTCACAGGTTTCGATGGGATTCTCATGACAGCCATGGTAGGTATCATTTGCTTCTGAGATAGATCCCCGTTCAACACAGACTTGCCGTTGTGTCTCCTCTCTTTATATACAGAGCTGCCTCCAATCCTGCCGAGATCTTCAACAAAGAGCAGATCCTGGTTGGCGGAGTGTCAGGACAGCTCGCTTTTTGCCATGCCTGGCTGCACGGTTTCTAGATGATGGGAATGTGAGAAGTCATCACCCAGAGAGGATCAAACTGTCTTGTGATCATCCTTAGAGTTGAACAAACTATAATGCTACTGCTAATGGTGCAGTCCCCGCTAGAGGAATCACTCTCCCAACGTTTCTTTATCCTTTCAATTTTGTCCAGTGATGTGCAGACCCCTCACGACAGTGCCTGTTTTCGCAGGGCTTTTGGCGGTGGCATTGGCCACCGTGATTGTGCCACTGGGCGGTTCGAGTCGACGGTGTCTCAAAGGAAAGGAGTCGGAAGGAGGAAGTGGAGGAAGGTAATCCCCAATTCGTCAACCCGATCCACGATGGCCGAGGGTGCCTGGAGTAGAATGCCAGAGCCACCGGACCTTGTGAACCCTCCAAGGCCGGACCTCACGGGTGGGGACGTCGTGCTCTTCACCCTCTTGCGCTTCATCTACGGCATCCTCATGTGCGCTGACGGAGTGGTGTGGGAGGGGGGGCCATCAGCTGGTTGGAAGCGGTGCTTCTTCTCAAAAACGAACAGAAGAAAGGATTCTGTGCGGAATCGGAGTGTTTTTAATCACCGGTGAGGGGCATGACGTGAGTGGTAAAAATCTTGGAGGTCTCCAGTGCCGCCCCAGCCTCTGTTTTTTGGGGTTTAATTTTGGTTCACCATCCAAGATGTTGATGCCCCTTCTTTCTTTGCTGTGCACTCCCATCCCGGCCTTCTTCGAGGAATATCGTGGCAGTCCAATGCGTTCATGTCCAAGAGACGATGCCCGAGGGCCGTGGCAATCAGGCCGCCGGTCGACCGTGTGTCCAGGGGGTTCCATCCGGCTGAACGGAGTGGTACGGTGATGGCTGAGTGGGGTGCAATCAAAGAGTAGTGGGGTGGAAGATAAAGGCAGATGTTGGGACCCGGATCTGCTTCATTGGATCACCGCTTCTTAAGGTTCGTGCGGAATCAGGGTATAGGCTTGATCTTTGGGTCGAGAAGCAGAAACCCAAGACGGCCAGCCAGGTGGTTGGGCTTCTCCCATCAAATCGTTATCAATCCGTCTTGTTTCATCTTCTTAAAAGCTCCGTGGTTGGAGGCCATCGCTATTAGAATCCAAACAAGGACCTTTTGAATTAGCTTCTGCTTGGCACCATCTGGGCACCTGCTCTGAGCCACGCTGTGAGGCCTTGGTGGGGACCAGCGTCATTTATAGCGTGATTGCCATCTTCTTGGCAGGCTATCCTTGGTGTCAAAGACTGGAGTGACTACAACCTGAATGGACAATCAGT